TGAATGAGTGAATGAAGAGCTGTTCCCCAACTGTGTCTAAATAATAAAGATACCTTAAAAATATTGTTAAAATATGAGCAATAATTTACAAACAAAGTACACAAAAGTACACAAAGTACACAAAAATTCTTCTCCCCCCAGTGTGTAGACTATTCCAGTAGAAGCCTATTCCAGCTTAGAGCTACACACTATATTGTTCATACATGTACGAGTATTTTAACAACTGGCTATACATGCTAGCTAGGCTGTGCGGTGAGTAATGACTGAGTAAGATTTTCTGCTCCCAGCAGAATAATCTTGTGGGTATGTATTTTGAGTCTTACCATGTGTCCCAATTTGTTTCCTTGGTATGCGATAATTAAGATGGATAATTAAGATGATAATTAAGGTTATAATCACATGATTTTTTGGAAATCGTCAACTGAATACCTTTGAAACCTAGAACCCAACCAAATGTTGAAGCATCACTGATATTGAGAAAACAGGATGTGAGACAGGCAGTTATATTCATTAAGCCTCGGGACAAAGTGTGCATTTTCATGACATCCCTACGTCCTTCTGAATATGTCACATAGGTATCACCAGTGGCCTATTTATCTCATGTTTAAAATTAGATCTGCAGGCAAATTAAATTAGCCCCATAAATTATCATGTTAGATTCAGAAATGGAAAGGATCCATGGTTGAAGAAACTTAGACTGGGCCAGTCTCTGCCGATTACTACCAACACAGTATAAGAAGGCACTTGGGTCTAGATCAGGGGTAGGCAACCTTGGTTCTTTTATGACTCGTGGACTTCAACTCCCAGGAATTCTGGGAGTTGAAGTCCACGAGTCATAAAAGAGCCAAGGTTGCCTACCCCTGGTCTAGATCAAGCTATGGTGTTTGTTTTATTCAAGGGTAGTCCCATATAAAATGCATTAAATAATCCCAAAAGGAAGCGATTCAGATAGGAATGATTGTGAACAGGGCTTCCCAAGGCAATAATGGGTGCATTTAATGCACAAGCTGTAACTGTGTGAATGTCCTCCTGGCAATAGCGCCTCCTACTCATCAAGCAAGGGGTGTGAGTTCAGGAGAAACACCAGATTGTGAACCACCTCTAAATGGGGAGAAACAACTCCATTCAGGCTCACAAATGGTATTTCTTTGGAATTAATGCCACAAATCCAAAGCCACTCCATCTTAGAAGGATTAGGTCTGAATCTATTCCGCCACATCTAGTACCTGGCATGGTCCAAACATTGGCCATTTTTCTATCAGTTTGACCTGGAACTGAAATATATAGCTAAGTATCCACACCATCTGCTCATGATACAGGACCTTGAGCCAATGGATGACTCCTCTCCCCAGCCTTTTTAATTAAAAGAAAAATGGGAAAAGGAAAGAGTAGAAGTCTCTGGAGGGAAGAAACAACTTTCCCCAACTGACATTGCCACCTCAGAAAAAAGAAAAAAATTATTGCAGAGTGATGCCACTGTCTCTAATCCAGAAGATTAGAGATATGGTCCAGAAGGACACCACAATTGATTGTACTGAAAATTGTTGAGAGATCACGAAGCACCAAGAGGATTGCATTATCTTAATTCTGCTGTTGCTATAGGTGATCCACAAGTGTAACCAATGCAGTTTCCATAGTACCTATGGCCTGAAACCTGCCATGGGTTCAAATAATCCAATTTCTTTAGGGCTATTTTGAGTTGTAGGGCACCACTCTCTCTAAAAACTTTCAAAGAAAGTTTGATCTAAAATGATCCTTTGCCTAGGTAGCAGTTCATGCATATGTTTGTCAAGGTCACCTTCATTACTCTTTACTCTCTGCCCTTTTTTTTTTTTCAGATGAACGTACTGTTCTGAAGAAAATCAGACATTGCATATCATGCTAAGCCTTGGTTTGTTTATACATAGTATATTTGGTAAATGAATGATTTACTGAATAAGCCACCACAATATTCACTCAAGTCATCATAAAACATGGATTACAGCACGCAATGGCAGATTTCTCATCCCATACTAAGTCAAAACCAAAGTAGCCAGACCATGGCTTTCTTTGCATAGTGTATAAACCCAAGCATTAAGTAAAATAGCTATCTAATAGCTAAAATAGACATGGACATCTTGTAGAGTAGTAGGCTTGTTCTGTAATAGCACAGAAACTCTCTTCCAGCCTCTTTAATAATTGGAGGCTCAGCAAGTGATGAGTGACTCCCTGATGTGAAAGAGTGAACCCTCTCTACTGAAATAGATTGATTGGAATCACACCGTCAAAGACCACAGGCAAGAATATGATGGGTTTGGTCTGAGTGACTGCCTGTAATGAGCTCTATGCAATATTTAATAGGCTGGCTATCCCACCTCTGCTTAAAAACCTTCAGCAAAGGAGAATCCATCACCTCCAGAGGCAGCCCGTTTCTTTGTTGAACAGCTCTTACAGCAAGGAAAATTTTCCAACTGAAATCTAATACTGCTTTGTCATTTATATCCATTGTTTCTTGTATAGTTGTCTTCTGGACAATTCTGCCCCATCTTCTGCAGGACAGTCCTTCAGATTATTGAAGAAAGCCATCATATCTAGCTGTAGTTTTTTTTCCCCCAGACTGAATTTTGCCCAATATCTCTAAATATCCCTTATAAGTTTTTCTTTTAGGGCCTTTATCATTGTGTTTGCTTTCCTTTGGCCATGTTCTGGTCTATCAAAATGCTTCTTAAAATGTATTGTCCACAACTGGATGCAACATTTTATCCAAGTGTGATATGAATTAGATAGACTAGAGAGAATGTTTTCTCTTGATCTTGATACTGCATTTCAGTTAATACATCCTAGAATTGCATTTGCTCTTTTTTTGGTACCAATATCACATTGTTGGTTCATAATTCAGCTTGTTATTCACCAGGTTTACTGGATCTTTTTATGTCTACCACTGCCAGTAAACTTTCAGTATAATTTACCATATAATGCTTCCGCCCAGCTCAATACAGAGCTGAGGGTGTAATTGTTCAACAAGTACTGTGTCCATCTAATGAAGAATACAGTCCAGCTCATATTTTGTCATCTTCTCTATAGGATCCAAGAGATTAATTAAATTGTCCTTAGAGATAATTACAAGTTACAATTAAGATCAGAGAAAACTGACAGCCTGGGTTCAAGACCTGAGCACACTATGGGGCAAGATCCTGATACTTGCCCCAATTTCTGCTCACCTAACAGTTTGAAAGCATGCAAATGCAAGTAGATAAATAGGTACCCCTTCGGTGGGAAGGTAACAGCATTTTGTGTACCTTGGCATAATCATGCTGGCCGCGTGACCATGGAAAGGGTCTTTGGACAATGCTGGCTACCACAGATAAGAAATGGAGAAGAGCACCACCGCCTACAGTCAGAAACATCTGGCCAGGGGAAACCTTTATCTTTTCAAAAATGGCAAGAACTGCTAGGATCAAGAGTCCGTAGAGTCATCAGGAGTTCATTATATAACTAGCTTGGTTCTTGAATTTTGATGCTACAAACACTCTAAAGCAGAGGTCTTCAAACTTGGCCCTTTTATGACTTGTTGACTTCAACTCCCAGAATTCCTCAGACAGGCATGCTGGCTGAGGAATTCTGGGAGTTGAAGTCCACAAGTCATAAAAGGGCCAAGTTTGAAGACCCCTGCTCTAAAGCAAAATGAAATCTTGAATGGATTGAAGCAACATACCAAAGTTAGCAAGATAGAAAAACCAACTGGCCAAATGGAACTATCAGAAAAGAGCCATAGGAGGTTAGAAGATTAGAGTCTGGACTGCCAAATTGTATGGAATACTTAGCACCTCTTGCAATCATAGTAAAATTATTATTATTTGCGACAAATCTATGAACAGACAGAAATCTCACACAACTCTTGAGACTTGGACCACATGGCTGCTGTCTATGGAATGAGGTCCTCTTGCCTTCTGCTTGGTTGGCTCTGCTGACATTGTCAGAGTAGCATTGCACCTCCCACAGCCAGACAAGAATCTTCTCCTCTTGAAATGTTAGATAAGGAAACTCAGATTACTTATTTGCAAGTAGAGTATAAATCAAACTATCATATGAATGTTTAGAAACAAGCCACTTCCTTATAACCAGCATAGAGAAAAGATAGGAAGATGCCTTAAAATGTGAATGTCTGCAATCTATAATCCTTTCTGCTCTGTTGAAAGGCTGCTGTGCCCAAGACAATATCTAACACAGACATATACTTAGATGCAGGTACGGCTCCTTGCTTTAAAGTTGCAAAGAACTGCATTCTGTGAATGCCAAAGCATTAGAAGTAATTATATGTGTCACACCTGATGAAGACATTTATGAGGCAATGACTTCACTAGAGTAGAATGCACTCTTTATTTCATAGCACTAGATCTTCATGAGAATGTTGAGGAATAATGCCTGTAATGAAATATGAATTCCCAAGTATTATTATACGGGAGGTTTAACGCTCCAAATTTGGAATGGTCATCTTCCATCTGCTCACAAACACAAATAAATACATTTTTAAAAGTTCTATAGCAGAGGTGGAGAGCTGTGGCCTTTTTATGACTTGTGGACTTCAACTCCCAGAATTCCTGAGCCAGCATGGCTGGCTCAGGAATTCTGGGAGTTGAAGTCCACAAGTCATAAAAGGGCCATAGCTCCCCACCCCGGTTCTATAGTCATTTGGTCTAAGGATAATTTTAAGCAGATGACAAACATATTCGGTATCTGAAATTTTGGACATTAGAAGAGTCAGAAAGATTTAGGTTATCAATCAGAAGATTGTTTAAACATTTTTCAGAATTTCAGCTACTCGGTAACACTTTGAAGGGAGGTCATTATTCCCTTCTGTAGCAATATTTAACATAAGCAGGAACAAATTGCATTGCATGACTGTAACACCACATTCTTATGCAACAGTTAAATTTAAATAAAATTAACATAACCTCATTAGCATACAGCTTTTGCAATTCGCAACAAACCTATGAGTAATAACTAAATCCGGTCAAATAGACTGTAGCAGGAAGAAGAGTATAACTAATCAGACCAGAAAGATTTGTTTAGGGGATGTTCCTTCTGGGAGTTTATTAGCCTTCTGTGTTACTACTTCGACCAAACTTTTATTTGGCTCTGGATATTTGAATGACACTCTGATGGAAGCCCAGGTTTTCTATTGGTAAGTGAATTCTTTTGATATCTATCTAACCTGATGAAAGCTTTTGGTTCTCCTTATTAAATACTATGCTATCTACCTTTGTCTTCAGTAAAGGTGATCTGGTTAGTGTCTTCTTCTATTATATGATTCCTGTTAAATTAACAAAAGTTCCAAATTCATCTGCTTTGATCTCAGGGAAGGAAACTAAGGTATAATGGAAATATGTGTGCTTATTTTTCACAGTCTACATAAAGGGCAACAGCATATCTGGCAAGTCTCCATGTTACATGTTTTATCAGAATTTAAAGCAATTTAAAGTTAATTGTTTCGAATCAGTAGGACTTGTAGTTCTGGAAGGAAATAAATTATGCTTTTTAACATCTCATTTTCACTCCCCACACAAAGATAAATTTTCAAGGATTCCAGCAATAATCAAAGGCGGTGCCGAGGTTCATGTGCCATATTTATTTGCTTTTGGTTTAGTATGTTATGTGAACCCAGCCACTGTAACATATAAATCATGGCTATTGGTGTAGCATATTTACTGTGTATAAATCCAGCTAACTGAATATTATTCAGTGTACCATATTTAAGTAAAGAATGTCTTACTGTGACCCCTGATTAAGCAAACTGTGGTTTATTAAATTGCAAACACAGCCAATCAAACCAAAGTGGTATAAAGGTAAATGAACCCCAAATCTTTAGGGGGTTGTAACCATTTCAAAGCAAAAGTAAAGGTGGCATTCTAGAACTCCTCACATCAGTCTTCAGTTAGTTTGATCCCTGTTCTGACACACTGTGAGATTTCTCTCGGGATCCTGCGCCTGCAGGATGAACTTATTCCTCTCCAGAGGAATGGACTGGTGATGTACGTTGGCCTAAACCAACGGGCCTTGCTTTAGTTTAGGAAACACACGGACAACATGCTTCTTCAGGTGAGATGGCAGGCAAAAGACCCTGAAGCCTCTCCGTGCCTCTCTTTTATTGGTACATTAG